CATCTTCATACAAGGCATCGCTTAGTGAAATGTTTACAGCACTTCCAAGCACTTCTGGAAAAGCAGACAGAGGTTTTTATACTCTCAGAGCAAGATATGTAGAATAAGTCTAATCTCCAAAGAAGTATTTTGGGGACTAGTTCATACGCAATGGGAATTCCAGGGAATAATTCAAGCATGAGAATAAGAAATTATAGGCCAAAATGTCCAAGCTGACACAAGAGGAACAGAAATCAATGTGAATATTGATATTAATCTCACCTCTGTGTGGCCTAGAGCTGTTAGACAATCAGCAGAAAAGGGCTACTTCCATATTTCTTCCTATATTCATGCAATGAAAATACAGACAAAAACTAGCAGCTGCTTTGCAGTACTTCGCAATGGAAAGACAACTCATGACCCACAGATTCTACCTCCGTCAGCATTTAGAGGGCCACAGAAAAGCAGCTGAATAACATGTTCTCAAGAAATGTATGTGGGCTGGAGGGGATACCAGATACCACATACCAGAACCACTACCTTGCTGTAAAAGGAAACACTCATTAGTACACCGAGCCTGATTTACTTACTATATGCTTCTCAAAGACATTTTTTAAAATAAAACCAGATTGCATTTTTAGATCTGTTTTCTTGGGAACAAACACTCTTGAACTCAGTGGGAGTTTTGAATAGGCATGCATAGGAGTGAGTTACAACCCATTTTAAGATCAGCTATGATATTTGAAACAACAAATAAATGTCCAGCTAACTATTTTTTAGAGAGGGACATGACATCTCTGAGCTAAAATGTGTAACTTTCTAGATGAACACTACATTTCGTTTTTGAGTGACATAGCAGGACCTGCACTCTAAAAAGTAATGGAAAGGGCCACAGCAAACACTAGATTTGATTTCACTGAGAGGTAATTAAAGTTGTAGTTAATTTAAGTACTCTCCAATGAGTATGGTATTTCATCACGTTCCTTCACATTCAAATTTTAATTTAATAACAACTTTAGGGAACCTCGAGCAGCTTTGCCTAAAGCTTTCAGGGCAGACATGTGGCTCTGCATCCTCAGGTTGTACATTTCTGCTTTAGATTCTTGGCTCCAAAATCAGAGGTCAGCTGAAGGAGTTGTAAGAAATTCCCAAATGAACTCCCATCATTATGGCAGTAGGCAAACTCAGCAACATTTGTGCTCCAACCTGCTTTAATATATAGAAAAACTATGGAGGAAAGCAAAGACTCTTTGTTCTACAGCAGACATATCAAACTCGCGACGTCACGTGACGTCATGTGACGTATCGGAACTTTTTCCCTATTGTCGGCAATAGGGTGGGTGTGGTTTCATTGTGACACATCTGGCCCGCGGGCTGGCAATTTGACACCCATTTTACAGCATAGGTGGATATTTGGGCCATTTATAGGAGCTCAGCCCAAAGAGCTCAGCTAGAGAAGTTCATAAACAGGAAGGTAGCTGAGAGATATGCAGAAACAACTCTATTTATTGTTAATACCAATGGAGCTATAGTCATCTGCAGTTAAAACACTAGAAATCGGTTAAAAGAAACCTTTGTAAAAAGAGAGAATGAAAACCCTTTTCTCAATGGACAAGAGATCTCTTGCCCTCCCTTCAGCAGAAGACCAATTAACTGAGTCAAATAATCATTTGCCCTTTAACCTTTAACCTCTTTCATAACGAGTCCAATAAACAGCAACAATTCTAAAAGATCTTAGCCATTAATAATGTAAGTAAAGGCACTTATTTGCCAAACTAAATGAGTGTCTTGCCTGACGAAACCTCTGTATGTAATTATACATGTTAACTGTACATGGATAAAATCTGGAATCTGGTAATATAAGGACTTCTGTTCTCATTCAAAGAAGACTGACTAAATGGTTCCTAAGATTGGGCGGGGGGGGGGAGGGGAGAAGGCAAACTTCCATGTTGTTTAGTTTTCCAAGTTTAGGAGCAAGAATTGACTCTTTCCATGAACCATTATGCGTATTAACTGGGGCACAAGTGAGACTTATTACCTCTTCAGTGTTTCATCATAATTTTCCAGAACCATTATTCATGGCTATGTAAAGGACACAGTCAGTGCTCTCCAGTTCAGAAAACTCAAATGCTACATTCACACATACTATTAAGCCATGATTTGTTTAATCTGAATTTGTTGAATAAGCAGCAACTGGCTGCCTGTAATTTAATTAATCTCTCTCAAATTCATATTTAACACACATAACCAGGTTGATTACTTGGTAACAGAATGAAAAGTGGTTTGCACTGTATTCTTGCAGGATATTTGTGGCTTCCCAGGATTGTCTACTGCTATCAGATTTCCTAGTGATCTCCCATCCAATACAACTGTGCTTAGCTTTTTCAAGGTCAACCAAAATTAGTGAAGAACCCCCAGCATGTACAATAAATCAGCATTTACATAGGCTCAGTCTATATACATGTATGCCCATCCTTTTTTTTTCAGCTGTCAAAGAGTTCTGATATAGGGGAATAAATTGCTACCAAGGCACATGCGTGCATTACAAGGGGTAGCCCTTGTACAACTAACGCAAAAAGCAGCAGCTAGACCATCACCTGGAAATGTAGCAGCAGCCAGGCTGAATGATTTCCTTCATTCAGTTAATAACATTAATTTTCCAATTTTCAGCCTTTAAAAGATAGTTTGTTCTTCTAAACTTTTAATGATGTTTTCTGATTGCTTTTTTATTATTTTTGAGGCTTTTCTGTCTGACTGCCAAGAGACATACAAGTTGTAAGGGATTTTTTTTTTTAATTGCATGTAAAGTACTTTGACCTCTCGGTGAACTAAAGAACAGTCAAAAGAACATTCAATAAAATAAAGATTATTTTCAGCATAGTATTCAAGGGTTTGCAATTTGCAATCTCTATAGCTTTAGTGATTATCTCTATATATAATACTTCAAGAACGATAGTATGACAGCAATACAGCAAACTGCTGATCTCACAAAAGCAAATATAGTGTTATTTTGGACACATCATATATTGAGTTCTCATGAAAAAAATACAATTTTATACCTAGGTACACGCAATTAAAAATCTAAGGTCATTTAGGTATGAATGAAAGTTAGAACTACAAAACACTTCCATTTATTTTTATTTCTTTATTCCAATTATAGACCCAAGAAAAAATTCAGATGCATAATGGTTTACAAAAGAATCAATAAAAACATGGATATCCTTAAAAAAAATCATTGTGGATTAGACTGACTCCTCTTATTCAAATGTGTGGAAACCTACTCATTGCTTTAGCACAGCCATAATCTAGTGTGTGTAAATGTGATTTTCTTTTTTAAAAAATGAAGTTACTTACCTACTTGGAGGACACGGTCAACAGCACCTGACTGTAGCAAATTCAAGCCACGGTTAAAGGGCACACGAGAGTCTCGCTCCCCCTCTGGGGGATGATAGCCAAGGGAAGAGTACATGCATATTTCCCGTTCACTCCGTGGGAAGGACCAGAACACTATGCGCTTCTGTACAGGTTCTGGGACACGGGAGAAACGTTCTTCAACCTACACAAGAGGGTGAAGAAGGAAGAGAGACCATTAGAAGTTCTAAATTACTTGGAGCAGGGATCTGAGGTTCAGTCTTACCCTGAATCCAAGGTAAACAACCTTTGAGCCATATACAATTCCACAACCTTATATTAAATAGCAACAGAGCACTCCCAGACATCCTTGCCAAGTTTGGAAGCAAAACCATTACTTCGTTTCATAAAACTGAGGGGCAAAACAAATTCCCCAAACTCATAAAACAATTGAACACAGGCTTAAATATTTCTCTTGTCAACTCTGATTCTATCTACATTATGCCTTTAGAGAGTTAAAAAGTGCACTAATAGGCAGGTTGTCATCCCCTGTCTTACATGATGAACCTGTCAGCTGTTCACAGCACACACCAGAGGCATCAACTGGGATCCAACTTTTTCTTTAAGTTTACTTGAATTATGGTGTTTCCGTCAACAGATCTTCAAAAGAGTAGCTTTCAAGTGTCAAGTTATAGCACTACTTCCCCATCCCAAAGCTTTTTATGATGGATTTCTTTGCAATAATAATTTTGATTTTTTTCCCCCACTTTACTTTGATCAGTCCTGCTGTGACTGTCATCATGATCAAGAATGCTCCGGAGAAAACATACAAGCATGAGATAGAAGAACAAAGAACAGCATTTCCCGGGTCTATCCTTATGGGGATATAGGCCAACCAAGTGTTCTTGTAAGGCATCCTAGGACTGGAGATAAATACTTCAGTTCCAAGATAAACTTGCACTCCCTTTCCACAGAAGCCTCCAAAATGGCTAAAATATCAGATTTCTATAAGATAAGGCCAAAGCAGGCTTTTTTCTGTGCATTATGCCATATTTTGCCACTCTGGCATATGATTAACAAACCACGCTGAATTGCTAGATTTAGCATCCAATCAAGCATGCAGCCAAGCAGGGATTTGCGATTCAACCCTTCCTTCCCTTCCGCTCTTCTGAGAAGAAGGGCCAAATATTGAGCTACTTTTACTTCAGGTTGCGTGGGAAGAAAGAGAGAATATGACGGGAAATGGGGAGGGATACTGGAAACCACAGGCCTGTCGCAGGGCTGAAAGAGGAATGCAAACAGCCAAGTGTCCTTCACTGTAGGCAAGAAACATAAAACCCACACAGTGGCTAGAGAACATCTGGTTGCTCAGGAGGTAAAAAGGGAGCCATGCTGAGGTCTGGACTAAGCCTGTCTCCTTTAGCAGCAGTAGCACTCCTGCCTCTCCAAAGCATTGTGGTTGCAGGGACAGAGAAGGGAGAAGCTGAAGAATTAAGCCCGGGGAGTGCTAGTCTCCCTGTCTGGGAAATCAAGGCTCCTGTTAGGTTCAGCTTCTCCTTGTGGTGATAGCTCTGTTTGGTTTAGACATTTTGATTTTAAAGAAGCTTAAATATTATAGGAAATTGATCTCCCACTCCTTGATCCCTGAACTGTTTCCTGCATTAGGTCCAGCCACCACTCTTTGGAAAGTGATACCATCTTCTGGGGGTAGAAGAATGCCCACGTGGTTCCTGTACTGCTCTTCCATTCCCTCAATTTACAAGTTGAGGTAGAGTTGGCATCTTTCTTCAGCAAGGGCTCTGGATATGAATTGCTGGAGGAATGCTGATGACCTTGGACCTAAACAGGGGTTATTGGTGTCGCAAAGGTATTTATAAAAAGGGCAACAAAAGGGAGGGCAGAGGGAGAAAAATAGTAGACACTGAGAAGAGTGCAGAGGATTAAGAACCCAAGGATGAGGAAATGGTCTTTGTGTAAACAGATCTAGAACATTTGAATATTTACTCAGTTTTACCCCATTTTCCAATATTCCCTACAACTTCCTTCTACATATAATTTCATTCTGCCATGTTGGTTTCAAGTTACTACATTTTTATATATCACTCATTGTTGCACTTTGGGCCTATGAGAGTCTTTGACCACTGTCTCTCCAGCACACTTTTCTCAATTGTTGTCTCATTTCTTCAGGCTTTCATTTCTCATTCGGCCATATTCATATCCAAGAGGTTCATATCCAACAGATAACCATCAGACTCTGGAGACTTCTGGCATTGCTCCTTATAGGAATCTGAAAGAAGATTCTACCATTTGAAGCAAGTTGGAAAACAAAAGAATGTGCAGCTTTTATTTGCTTTGCTTCAAGGACAGCCATGCACACAGGGCTACAAGGGGGTGACTGCAACAAGGAGAGAAGCTTACCCAGAACATCTTAGTTCTTACCATAGCATTGCTGGCTGGAAGATATTATGGGAGTTGCAGACCAGGCTGGAGGATGATTTGAACAATCACACACTTATTCAGACCATAAGTTCTGCTAAGTCATGAATTGATTAAGCACTGTTTGTTGAATAAACCAGATTGGCTGGCTTCACATAACAATAGGCCATAGCCCCCAGTTTACAAACTGCAATGGCTGGATTCATACAACACAAACACCAAAAGCATGAAGAGGCAAAGGAAATAGTCTTGAAGAAAGCAGGAAGAGCTGCTACCAAGGCAATGATCAGTTAAGTGGGCTAGAGTCCATCCAATAAACCTATTTGAGAAAAGGTCTTGGTCTGGTCTACCTAAACATATAGAGCTGATATCATACTCAAACCCACATTAGAATATTGAAAAAACAGATTCTGTATGCAAAAATGCTAAATTCTTTGCTTATTTTATCACTTAATCCAATTCAGGTGTTTGAAAGCTGTGGCAGGCTTACAGGTTCAAACAAGAGGAAGGGGATTATGGATGAGTGTCACTGTTCTTTTCACCCTTAACAGAGGAAGGGTGGCCATATGTCTACCAGCAAAAAAAATCTCCATCTAATTTCAAATCACAGTTCTCTGCAGGTTTCTGTCACATTTCTATAAATGAATCTTTGATTCAGGGAATGCCCCTAGAAGCCAAAACTCTGCCAAGTCTCTTAGGTTTTACCTGATGAATTCAATCTGTGTAAAACTGGATTCTCTGGTATATCACGTCACCCATAAGGCACACATCCAGTCTCAATATGTCACTGCCTTTCAGCTATCTCCTCCATGTAATCACCTTGACTTGTTGAAGTTCCTTCCTTTTCAATCAGCTCAGATATCTTAACTGAACCCTCACATCTTATCCTTGTGCTGAAATATTCTGCTATGACTCCGTCCTTCTAAAATCAGGCTTTGCCACCAGCCTTCTTTCATTTTTCTACATGCAGCTTCCTCAGCTAATACTCTATTCTCCCAGCGCTATCCTCATCCTCTGCGCTAATACTGGAAACAAACAACTTGCCCACTAAAGCTAAGGAAAAAAATAATTTTCTTCCATGCTTCTGTAGAACTATATTTTACACATTTCTCTAAGAATAATGTACAAGTTAAACTAGCTTTAGATTTCCCAATATTTGATCAATACTTCTGTCATCCTTTAATTATGTTCTGCTCTTATAGAAGGCCCAGGTTCTATGTCTTCTAAGAAGAAAAGGGAGCATATTCTTTCTACAAAGAGCACTGACAGATTGACGTAATGGTGTCACATATTTAATATTAATGGCAAGAAGGACAGAGAGTAGGAAATCTAAATTTTAACTACAAATTCTTCTCTCATTTGGAAAAGGGCCATGGAATCAAATCTGACTAATCTGAAGGTACAATCAATACTACCAAATTAGGAGAGCTTCTGCACAAACCTCAATGAAACAAACATGAGTGTTATGAAAGCGGTGGCCATATCTTTCATTGGGTCTGAACAAGAGAACATCCCTGTTGATTTCAACTCATGATTTATCAAGGTCACATTCTGTATTCTAAACAGCATCTCAGCCAATATAACTTCATCTCTTATTACAATCAGATTACTTCCCTTTTGCTACCACAAGAATAGATTCAAAGAAAGAATATCATAAAAGAAACATTGCAGAGATTTTGTGGTTTCATAGAGATGGACACAAATAACCATATACCAGGGCTGACTTCTCACTGAACCAGGGTGCAAACGAGTTCACCTAGCTCTTTAGACGGCAAGTAAGTCCTCTTAGGACGAAACATCACTTCATAATTTTTTTTTGCTAGAAATGTCAGGAGGGTATTACAAGAATCTTGCTTCTAAAATGTATAATGTTCTTTAAATGAGGAATGCTCTTAAATTGAAGAGTCTTCCATCATATAAGCTGAATATCTGCAGCAAATAAAGCCAGACCCAGACACACCACTTGATTGAGGATCCAGACAAAGGTAATGGCTATTACTTTGCTAAATTCAAGTCAAAATTGTTGCAATTATAATGACAATTCTCCTAACTAACTTAGGATGAGGCCTCAGGTTAAAAAGGTGATTTCTTGAAAGAGTTTCTGATTCAATAATATATTCAAGCATCCTACTCAAAATAAAAATTGCATTTCCAAATTGAAAAAATTATACAGAAGTCACGGGTTTTAGGTTTTAGGTTTAGGTTTTATTAAATTTATACCCCGCCCTTCTCCTAGCGGACTCAGGGCGGCTTACAGCAAGTTAAAAAACAGACAAACCATACAAAATACTAAGTTTAAAATACAATTAAAATGAAATATTGATTTTTTTGCCGTTTCTTTTTAAAATTATGTTAAAAACCAAATTAAAATCAAATTAAAATCAAATTAANAGATGATAATCAACACCTTGAAGCGCACCCGAAAAGCCACCGGTAGCCAGTGCAGTTCGCGCAGCAGCGGCGTTACATGGGAGCGACGAGTCACTCCCATCACCGCTCGCGCGGCTGCATTCTGGACTAACTGGAGCCTCCGAGTGCTCCTCAAGGGGAGCCCCATGTAGAGAGCATTGCAGTAGTCCAGGCAGGAGGTTTTAATCAGCTTTCTAATTCTGTTCCCCAACCCAATTTATTCTGTGTCATAAAGTTGTTCTGTCTGGTGGAAAAAAAACGATGGTGCAATGTGGGGCAAAAAGAAAAACAGTCATGCTTCTATTCTTATTATAAACACATACATTGCTGGAGATGTAAAGTTATGCCAAACTGCTTAAGAACAATCATGCAATTTGGATCCCTCAGAAGTGTTTAACTATCTACCTTACTATCAGAAGTATCAAGGGCTTTTTAAAACAAAGTGTGAAACTTCTTTTTAAATCGCTGTGATGGAATCTTTCCCAGGCTAAATAATAGTAACAACAACACTTTCCAAACCAGATATCATCTGCATTCTCTCCCATTTCAGGTGTGCACATGCTTGGACTTGGGAAGTTTCACCTGCTGATGTCAGTGACAAGCGACTCTTGTTGGACTAGTTTCTCAGCCCAACACGGAAATTATGCTCTGGTGTCTCCTTGTATGAACTGTAACTGTTTACAAGGAATGTTCTGTTTGATGGAAAGAAATAACTAAATTTTGATATCCAAGAATAATGGACAAGCACGATTCTATTCAATTTCAAAAAGGGGGCAGAGAGGGATGGAGAAACAAATGCACATGGAGCAAGCCAAACCTCTCCCCACCCAACTGTAAGAGTATCGAGATTTTACTTTCACTTGGGTTTTGCCCAGACTAGCCCCAGATCTCCCAGCTACACCATGTCTGCTTAGTTTCAGCTATCTCCTCATTCTCATGCTTTGTTCCAGAAAAGGCCTTGGGAAAAAAAAACTAGTTACCATAACCACTTCCTACAGACTGAACCGGCATCAACTTGTGAAGGGACTGCCTGGTAGAGGAAAAGCAAAATTAAGAAAACTTATGGAGGAGCACAGAGGGAAAAACTACACATAAAAGTTGAACTGCACACATAGGCAAGTTAGTAAAACCAAAAGATATTCATTTAAAGCATTTTCTCCCACTGTAGTCCAATCCATCAAGAGACCACCAGAACTTACATTTAGTAAAGAATCAGACCAAAAACTGTGGCAGAACAGGGATGGCCCTTCATGTTGTCAAACAGCAAGCAAGCCATTAAAGAAGAGGGGTTCCAAGGAAAAAGTTATCAATTGGGAAATAAATGGAGAAATCAAGCATTTGTCACTTGACAAATACAAGACTTACCATAGTCTGGATAAAGCACCTGCTCCCTTCCCTTGCAAAAGTGGTTTTATAAGGAAGTCTCCACCCAAAAAAGAAAAGAAAAGATCCCAAACACAATTAGAACCGGACCCCAAGGAGAGGATGCTCTAAGATTACAGAGAATGTAAAATGAACTATGAATAGCCAGCTGATAGTTTGGCAGGAGGAAAAAAAAGAGAATGCAGTTTTGCCTACAGCTAAAGAAGAAAAAGGACAGTCCTTGGAAGGAAATTTGGGGAGGGGGGAGGAAGAGGAATGGAAGGAAAACTAGTGAAAAAGTGGTAGATTGCGCTAGGCTTTGTTCAAGTTACCAACCAACCAACCAGGGAAAGAAAGAAACCCGGCTTTTCCTGCTCCCATGCTGCTATCAGCATCTTGGATGTGCCCAAGTCAGCAGGTGAAGAAGCCTTTTTTCCACATTGTGCGCGACCGCTCTCGCCACCGACTAACGTTGTGCACGTCGGCCTATTGTCAGAGGGGCTGCTCCGGGAGCGATTCTAGAAGCTGGCATTTCTAGCTTAGCCCTGGAGGAAGCGGTCTTCCAACGCCAGCGCCCGGCGGATGGGAAGAAAAGAAAAGAAAAGAGACGCCTTTGAAAAGGAGTTCAAACGCAGGTCGAGAACCCTCTCCTGAGGGTGCGCGGAGTGGCTCCTCTCCCTCACCCTCCAGCAGCCCCACTGGCACTTCGGGGGAGGTGGGTGGGTGGGTGGGGGGGGAGACTTGCAGGCAGCTTTGCGCCCCGGCGGCTCCCTCGGAAAGAGGAGGCGGCGAGGGAGCAGGCGATTTAAAGAGACCCTCCGGGGCTCTCGCTCCTTCGCGAGGTCCAGCCGGCATCGCAGCCGCGAACGTCAAAGGCGGCCGGCCAGAAGGGGAAAGCCAAGAGTGGCGCGCTTGCCCCGTGGGGATCTGTCCTTCCTCTCACCTGCTCGAAGGCCCAAGTTTCGGCCACCCGCCGGGCGCTCAGGTCCAGAAGCGTCTCGACGGCAGAAGAGGTGGAAGCGGAAAGGGGGGAGGAGGCGACGGCGGCGCTTGGTCCCGGATCGGGCTGCTCCCCAGGGGCGCCGCACCTGCGCTTAGCGGGCGGAAGCTCCATAGGCCCGGCCGATCCCCGGCCTCTCCTGAGCACCTTCCCGAAAACCCACCAGTGGCGGCCCGGGCCCAGCCCGGTCAGTTGGTCGTTTCTCTTTCTGTGGGCGGCGGATACGGCCCCTTTAAGGAGCTCCCACAACAATGAGCTCGACGGCCGCTGGTTCCCCGGACCTCCCTTTTCTCTTCACCCGCTTTCTATTGGGCAGTGTGCAAGATAGAGGCTTGTATAGATTGGCCGAGCTCGGTTGCCAATCAAGAAGGAACAATGCACGCCCCCATGTTGTGGGGCTTTAAAAAAAAAGAGAATAGGAGCTGTCTGGAAAAAAGGATGTCAATCAAAGGTCGGGAAGCCCCCCCCCCCAGCCAATCAGCCAAGACAGGAGACCAAGGCCCTTAAGATAGGGTTCTACGTGGGCGTGGCCTACGCCGCGATCCTTCCATTCACAACATTCTGATGCCGGCTGGGAATGGCAACAATGTAGCGAGCTGGGGGTTGAGCCGCATTCCGGCTCAGGCTATCTCTCTGCCCCGCCCGTCACTTCCCCGGGGTTCATCTTTGCCGGCCCCTCTTCGATCTTCTTCATCGGAACCTAGAAAACGAGGTCGTGGGGCTGAGTTGATGTGGTTATTGTATTTAAATATTTTTCGGTGAAAACAAAATAAAGACATGTATACTGAATGTAAGAAAACAAAAAATTGTCACTTGAGTTGTTACAGAGAGTAAAATTATGCTGAAATGCCCGAGACAGAGAAAATGTAAAAGCGAGGTGGAAATGTGTTCATTCCTCAGAAGCAAACTCCTCTGAAGGTAGTAGTCTCTGAACAAAGTTTGTGTAGGATACACTGAGTTGTCCTCTGCATAGTCAGTGAAGCATTGCTATCAATCCCTTCTCACCCCAATCCAATAAATGCTTGTTCAACTATCCCTTTGGTTTTAATAAGCCAGAAGAATAGGCTGGGCTGCAATATCGGGAATTTGGCATTAGTCATAATGCCTTTTCTGCAATGATCTATTCTACACATTGAAATAAAAAACGCAGTGTGGGTCCTTGAAAAAAGAAATATCAATCATAATTCCACATTCATTAATTTCCTTTATTTATGAACTGCCAGACTCCATGTGGACTCAAACATCTAGGTCACCTGCCAAGCTTTTAGATTTTTTTAAAAAAGGAAATACTTTGTGATTGCTTTGTTTAATGTGGGAACTTTCTTGTCAAAAAATGGTTTTAATTTTATTTTGTAAAATGCCTTAGGCAGGACCTGAATGACTTACATAAAAAATGATAAATAAGTCAATCTTATGTAAAAAAAAAAAAAAAAGACACACACCTGACTTGAGGAAGAGCAAAAAACACATACACGCACCAACAGGAAATCATTATAACCTTCCAAACTGTAATTGACATTAAAAGTGGCCACTGCTGGAAAAGGGACTTCAAAAGGAGACATCAACATGAAACTGCTGAATTTCAATACACCAAGAGATTCAGTGTGGTCTGGTATCCAGCTAAAGGTGTTAATTAGCTTACCAATGCCAGGATGTTTACAATATCTTCAAAATTGCTTTGTGAGTGGTCCCTGAATTTTTTTACACTTGCCCCTTCACTACTTAATATCTTTTCTTTGTATGTGTGGTTACAGACACATACCTGCTAACTTAGGCTAACACTCTGATGTATGTAATGATTTTGATTTCTCTCTAGAAAATTCATTCATATTTAAGGTGTTGGAAATATTTCTTGTTTTTTGCAGCAACACATCATTATGGCTAGAAATATTTATCATTTTTATAACACCTCACATGTCTAATAATTCCTTAGAACAGCCATGCAAGGTGGACCAGTATTTTACTGCCGATGGAAACAGGGTGAGACAGAGGGTGGATTCATGGTGCATGTTAAGACAGAATGTGGCTTGTTTGGGTTTGGCTTTGTGTGCTGCCAAATAAATTGTGTGACTCCTGTAAGAGAGTGTGGTTTACCCCAGGATGCTTCTAAGTTAATAGCAATGATGACATCTCAAGCAGAGATTACCTTTTTTCACAACTCAGATGGATGACCCTAGGACTCATAAACTGAACCATCTAGAGTTCCCAGTTTCATACAAATTAAAGAGTAGAACTTCAAAATTTAGTGCTTCAGCTAAAGATCCTGTGAGCAATCATCTGACTGTTCCTAATATTGTGTGTTAATCAGTCAAGTGATCACAGTGTTCCAACCCAGTTGCCAGATCACACTTCAGGATTCATTTGATTACTGCCCTAGATAGAGAGCCCTTATTCAAATCTGTTGCTACTAATCGGGGGTGGGAAGTGTATGCTCTGCATATCCCTTAACTGCAGTTTACATCTAGCTTCACCACTGGTGTTGCTGGTCAAGGAGAGATGGGTCAACTGCAGCTGAAGTTTAGTGTTATTTCAGGGGATGCCCACTGTCCATTTTTGCCATACATTCATCAACTGTTAATGCCCTGCAGAAATTGTCCATATGTGAGAGGTTTTTTTCCCTGCTGTCTTTGGACAAAAGGTGCTATTTTATTATGATGGATGAGATAGAAAGAGGGACATCATTTATACTGTTAAATGCCTTCGGATGCAGAATTCCAAAGACTGAAACAGAGACTAGCCTGGAAGCTGACCTACTTACCAAAAGAATGAAGTGGTCAGATTCCAATCATTTCAGATGCTAACAAGAGTTCATTATTTTATACTTTGACATGTTGTCCTATGTTGAACAAAAACACCCTATTGTATTAGAGAATTTCCTTATTGTGCAGTTTATTATGACCATTTACCTGCAGCAACATTCAAATAAATGATACCTACCTAGACACAACCATTCAGATTTATTTATATAAAAAAAGAAGCAATTAGCTTCTTTTTAAATAATTGGGATGCAGTTTCTGTATCCCATTCTGTCTAACAAGATAGTTAGATTTGCATTCCTTGGAAAAGAAATGGAACCTAATGCAATTCCAGAAAGAGAAGATGGCAAAATACAGCCTGGGAAATTTTACTATTATCAGGATATAGAGCTGGTTAAATAGCTGTACCAGTAAGTGAATACCAATGGCTGTGAGTCAAGCTGGAGGGAAGAGTCAAGTAAGATGCCACTCTGGGCCCAGTAATGCCCTTCTGTACCCAATAGGACTTTTGGAGCCCAGAACAGGAACAATGGTTTGCAAAACACTGTAGGTTAGGAATTTCTCTGCCTTCCTTCATTATTATCAGGCAGACAGGGAGCAAAGTCTCCCCTTGCACCCAGAGGAAGTTAGAAAGAGGATTAGTGGAATCAGGACCTTCACCTTAATGGGCTTACTGATAAATGGGTTGCTAAAATACACATGCCTATTTTCCATGATTCTGTGACCTAATCCCGTTATTGTAGTTGCGCCTTCAAATCAGTTTTGGTTCCTGGCAACTGGCCTGACCTTGTCTCTCCAGTTGTCTTGGCAAGATTGTCAGAAGAGGCTTTGCCATTGCCTCCTTCTTCCTAGGGCTGAGAGGGAGTGACTGGCCCAAGGTCACCCAGCTGGCTGGGTGCCTGAAGTGGGATTAGAACTCACGGTTTCTAACCTGAGGCCTTAACCACTATACCAAACTGGCTCCTCTAATTTAATCCCTTTTTCTTTTTCTTTTTTAAATCTGACTAATAAGATCTTGAGGGGCTTGTCAGCAACTTATTTTTAAATAACAGAGGAGCAGATAGGAATTCACTAGGGGAAGTCAAGGGAGAAGGACTTTTAGCCTTTTTCTGCTTTTTCTGCACTTTATCTCCCCCCCCCCCCCGCCATCTTCCTCCAACCCAGACCAGCCATCACTCAGAGAAGCGGTTTCTAGGCACCCACAAAGCAAGCAAACAAGGACTAGCTAGGAAAGTTGGCAGGAGAGACTCCAAACCATCTGGAAAGCTAGGGAACGATTATTGTGACCTGCAAGATGTGCGCACTATTTGTCTCCCTGCCCAAAAAGGAACCAAACTTCTCCCCTTGCAAGTGCAAGCTTGTTCCTTTATTGGAAGAAAATGTGAAGGAACTTGAGAGGAGAAATGCTACAATGAAATGCATCAGGAAAAATAAGTGGTTCTGGACCCTCCAGGAAGAGCAGAGAAATTACGAGAACTCTGGAGAATGTGGAGGAAAGCACTTTGGCAGAGGCAAATATGTGGAAGCATGTGACCCAAAGAAGCAAGATCAGGAGGCCTTTGATGCAGGTGTAACTTGCACACCAGTGCCAGGCTTTCCTTCTAGAGGATGATTGACAGCCACCTGAGCAAACAGTGTTATAGATTATAGAACATCTCTTGGGCCCTCATAGATCAAATAAATCCAAGAGCCACCCTGAGAAAGAAGACCTGGGTAAAGGTGATAGGTGCGTCCCACTTAAGGGGACCCAAGGCAGCATGTACAGACTTAGTATGATGTTACAGGAGGTATGTTGTGAATATGTACCAGATGCCTGCAATAGGATGTGATAGAAAAGTTATTATTGAAACCTACCAAGATCTATCATTTTCTCTTGATCCATGTGGAGACAAAGAATTTGGCCAGAAGAAATAATTAAAAGAATTTCTGAAAATGATAAGGCTTGCAGGAGGAAAGTATAGATAGATAGATAGATAGATAGATAGATAGATAGATAGATAGATAGATAGATAGATAGATAGATAGATAGATAGATAGATAGATAGATAGATAGATAACCTTTATTGTCATTTTTTACTGTGGGCGCAATGAAACACATTACAAATGAAATTTAGTTGCTTGCTCTCAAAGTGTACACATACATAACACACATTTAAACATGCTATATACAGCATTTGTATAGACCTACACCTTTACATATAAGTAGCATATACTATAAATATTAATCACTGTCCATCTTGAATACATAACGGAAGGAGGAAGCTTTAGAGTTCACAAAGTTAATACTGTATGGAACAAAGCTGTGACTGAATCTGGATGTTCTGCTTCGGATACCAAGAAGCCTCTTCCCAGAAAGTA